CATGTAACACATGTAATACCTGTAATACATGTGTAATACATGTAATACATGTGTAATACACATGCAAAGATGTGTAATCGTTGTAAGCATCGTTGCAAGCATCGTTGTAAAATTGTGGTGCAGTTTTGTTACCTCCCGTCTACGGTGGCGGGTTAGTTACGCATACCTCTTTCTTGCGAATGCAACCCTGTATTCGTTGCCGTGACCGTCATCATTTCTTTGTCTGGCGTCGTGCCATTACAGTCAATAGATACTACCATTGCACTACCATTTCGCTCGTGAAATTCCCAAAAAACAAGGAGCCATTGCGTGTGTTGATGCGTGCAAGCTGTGCTCAAAGTCACAACACGTTATGAATACGTAATGAGTAAGCTTCTCCCCCCCACCCCCGTCCTATCCGGCATTTCGTGTTCAGGAGAGATTCGTCACCGTGACTCCTCAGGGGATGGGGGGGGGGGGCCCTAGCTAGAATTATTTATATGCTCCTAGGTTGTTTCCTGCATCGAAAATGTTTACGCTCGTTCGTTTAAGATCGAACCTCGAAACAAGCTCAAACTTTGGGGCAGGGTTCTGTTAGATTAGGCGGCGTTCTCCGTCACGAACTTCCGTCGTGGCACCGCAACTTTCGGCGATCGGGGGGGGGGGCGAGTCTCATCTTGCCGGATGTTGGACAGGAGAGGCAGGCGCAGCTGTGTAACGGATTGTCGCGCGGGACGTCTCCCCCCACCACCTCCGACGACCCCTAGCGGTCGTCGTTCCCGGCTCGTATGAACCTGCGACGTCGAAAACGCTCGCGCGCGCGGTTTTCACCCAGGTGCCAACGCTGCGGTCATCGGAATTCCACTTCCCGCAGCAGCGTGTGTGTGTGCGTGTCCGGCACGTGTACAGTGTAATAATGTAAATAATGTAAATACTTTAATTATTCGACGAAAAGCCAGGCGTCGCAACAACGAGTCGCGAGCGAGCGGTTAGCGATTCGCCTCGCGACGCGGAAACCCCCTCCCACCGACCCCCTCATCCGGCGAGTGCTGCTCGCTTATCGTGACCGTCGCAGCTCGAGACGTGAGCGGCGGCTTGCACGCGTGAACACGGCTGATGGAAGCTCGCGCGGGGTTTTTCTCCGTCGCGGTGGGAAAGCGACTCGGAAGTTCGGTGACGCGGTGGCGCCCCCTGCGCACGCGATCGCGACGTTTTCCCCTGCGTCGGCGAACCACCCCGCGCATCCGGCGCAAACGATAACGCGAAGAGTACCTAATGAAAGGAGAGTGACCCGCAGCGGGGGAGCGAGAATTCGTTCGGAAGCCCGATCGCCCCCCGATTTCGCGCACGTAGTATTTTTACCAACGCCATTGTTCACAAAATAAACTCGTGGCATTTTTTTTATTATTACACAAGTTCTTTGTTTCTTTGCATTCCCTCCATACACCGTATAATACATATCCAGGCGAAGTGACGGAAGGACGATGACCGCCCGTCATCGGAACACGCTTGCATATATATATATATATATATATATGCGTCAGATGGTTGCAGAGCGATAACCAAGTTAATAAACGCAGGCTTTGCTATTATCAACTGGGACGAGAACACCCAGAGGCTACTTATGATGAAATTAAGGTCAGAGCTTCTACGAAAAAACTAGTTTTGCAACAAGCGCTAAACGAGGGTCAATCGGCAGTTCTCCAGCACGTAAGATGAACTGCAGCAGTACATTAGAAACGCGCGTTCCCTCGCCGGGACGCGCAGCTGCGCATAGCTACGTTCTATTGTTCGGTCGCGCGGCCTACCGCGAGACGTAACGCTCCTTAGATAACATTTAACAAGTGTTCAGATTTGTGCGAAAAGAGTACAGTTAGAAATATGCGGATATTTATACTGTTGGCGAGTCGCCACGCGTCGTTGTTACAAAATGTTCGATTTAACACTATATACATGTTATTCAGTTTATTATAAACGTCTACTGTATTATGGATAATATGAACTCTTATTAAACACGATCTATACAGACACTGATAAAAACCTGACAGCATTGTAGTTGATACTTCCAAATGTTCTCCCAGTGCATTCCATCGGTACAAAATATCGACGGTTACTCGTAAACGACAGGTAGTGGGAGAATAAGAATGAAAGAACTAAGAAAACATCAAAAGTCTGTGTATTTAATATTAGATTTTCCATGATCTTTACTATTTATAAATGAAGGCTATTACAGTCTATTAAGTTGTTTAATCACTGGGTTACATAAATAATTTGTCCACACCATTACAAGTAAGTATTCGTTTACCTATGCAAATACACATGTTTTTTCAAATATTAATGCTAAATGCGGTATCAGTTTTTACAGTGCTGTGGCGTCAAAACTGCGAAAAACTTTACAAAACTCCACCCGCCTGAATATTCCAACAAACAGCTGCAGGACACGATATATATATTTGGTACAAAAATGCCAGCTGTCGGCCTAGGCCAAAAATCCACCAGGGTAACAATATATATATACCATGGAGTAACAAAGAATTCCGCCGTTCAGTCACACGCGTGCGTAGGCAGGCGACAGTCGCACATACGCCCCTCCCCGCGTTGCCGCGTCCTCACCTCCCCCGCGCCGCGTCCTCGCACGCACGCCCACTCCCCTCGTAAATTCACTATCAGTTCTTCCACGACACGTTGCTCTTGGGCATCGCCTGCGCGGGGATCATGTCCAGCAGGTACTGCCGCTGCACGTCGGCCGACGTGCGGCCGTGCGACGTCGGCCCCCCGATGAGGCCGTACGGGTAGCCGAGCGTCGTGGGGATGAACCCCTGCATGAGCGGGTGGCCGGCGAGGTGCGGCAGCTGCAGGCCGCCGAGGTGCGCCGCCTGCAGCAGCAGCTGGTTCTGCTGCTGCTGCTGCTGTTGCTGCTGCTGCTGCTGCTGCTGTTGCTGCTGCTGCTGAGACGTCGCCGACGACGACGAGTGATGCTTCGAGTTGATGGCTCGACCGAGCGCTGCGGCGTGCGCCATCGACGCGGTCGTCGTCGTCGGGGTCGCCGTGCGCTCGGCCGCGGCGGCGGCGGCGGCGGCTGCGGCGGCCGCCGCCGCCTGCGATTGTATGCGCTGCTCGATCTCCTGCTCCTGCTGCAGCGCCTTCACGAACGCGCTCTTCAGCCGGTTGGTGTGCTCCGCCTTGAGCGCCTTCTTCTGGTTCGACGTGACGCACTGCTCGCAGATCACGTTCTTCGAGTTGGGCTTGTCGCGCTTCCACACCGTCGTGAAGTCGGTCTTGCACTGCACGCACTTGAACGGGTTGAAGACGTAGCGGACGGGCGCGACGGGCCGCCCCTTCAGCGGGTCGTTGTCGGTCAGGTACTTGACGGCCTCCTCGAGTCCGAGCAGGTAGACGAACTCGGCGTTCTGCGCGCTCGGGATGAAGTTGAGTTCGGGCGGCGGCGGCTTCGGCGGCGGGATCTGTAGCAGCGTCTTCTCGAGCTGCTTGCGAAGCGCGAGTTTCGCCGCCGCCTGCCGCTGTGCAGGCGTCTGGCTGTCCGCCGCCGCCGCCGCCGCATTGTTGTTAGTCTGCTGCTGCTTCTGCTGCTGCGTCTGGTAGCCCATGACCATGTTGGGCGGCGTCGTGCCGTGCCGCGCGTTCGCGACCGTCCGGCTCATCTGCTGCAGCATCGCGTTCGCCGACAGCACGCCGCCGCCGCCGTCGCGGCTGCGCCCGCCTCGCCGCATCAGCAGGCGGCGGCGGCACACCTGCTGCCGTCTTTGTGTTCTAGTGCGCGGGCGTGGGGCGGGCGGTTGGGCCCGCGCTGCAGCGTCGGCGGGACCCTGCCGCCGCGCACCGGCACGGCGCCCGAGCCGCGCACGAGCGGCGGCGGCGCTGCTGCGGAGCGCTTCAGCATCTTCGTAGGCTGCGCGCCGGCGGGAGGCCTCATCGCCCCGGCGACGGCGTCGGCGACCGCGCTCGTGTACATCGAGTCCTTTCATCGACTGGCTCTGCCGCAGCTTCTTCAGAAGCACGAGCTGTGGCTTCCTCGTTGCGAAGCTCCGCTTGAGGGTGCCGCCATTGCAGCTGCTCGCGGGCCCACGCGGTCCCGCCGGAAGCTGGTCGGCCGTCGGCGATTGCCGCCCTCAGCTGCTTTCGCTCGCCGCCGCACGATCCGTCGCCGTTGTCCGCGCCGCGACCCTGCGACTGCGACGACGACTCCTCGTCCGAGAGCAGGATGATGCTCTCCGGAGAGGATCCCGCCGCGTCTCCGCCCTTCTCCTCCGCGCGCTTCCCGCCTTCTTCTCCCCCCGCCGCCGCCGCCGCCGCAGGCTCCTTCTCCTCGGCGACCTCAACCTTCCCGTTCTCCTTTATCTCGTCGCATTCCATCGGCTCCGGGGACGGCGGCGATTTAGTCTCTGCGACGACGGCGACGGCGTCCGCCGCCGGGACGCCCTCTTGTTTGTCGTCGCCGTCGCCGTCGCCGTCTGCGCGCTCGTTGTTGCTCGAGCACCCCCTGTGAGCAGCGGGGTCGTGCCGCCGCTCTTCGTCTCGTTCGTCAGCCCTTGTTCTTGAACACTGCCATGCCACTCGGAGTCGGAGTGTGGTAGGCACTCACTATTGTCTGTGGTTGTTGTGCACTTAGAAGAAGAATTCAGGTCACCCGTCTTGGTCGGCGTAGCCGCTCTGAAACGCACGAGGGAAAGCAGACGACGGATTCAGTAAGAGCGTTGTCGTGGCGTTCAGGTGTTTAAGACAACACGCGCGTAGCCGTCGCGGGATTGCAAACGACGTTATTATGCAAGTTTGTAGATATTTAGTGCATCACACGATAAATCGTTGAAATTCTATTGGATAATGTCGCAGGTACTATGAAACAATAGTGCCCGCCTGAGCGGCACTATTGCTTGGCGCGCATTGTTTATTATAACGCCTTGTGTTTAATACAAATTGAAATTGTTCGTTTTTAAGAAACTTTGTCTTATTCACTTCATATTTGCGAGTAGATTGCAAAGTCATGTGATGCACTAAAAACATTAATGCCTGTTGTTGGGGGCACTATGAGAGCATAGTGCCCCCAACAACAGGCATTAATGTATAAATAGTATCATTTATACACTTACTATAATAATATACCCTAAAATTCTAGGGTGTAGTATCCCTTCGAGACAACACGCGAGTAGTAACACAGTGGGAATACACACACGGCATGTGCTACACGTCGCAGCATTGCGAATGACATGCCTAATAACAAGAGCATATAAAGAAGGAGAGCGTACAACGATGAAATGCTGAAACCATGTTGCAGTATTAGTCGAATTAATAAACTTTCCCCGTTTTTATTTTGACGATTCTTTGCAGTATTATTGATCAGCTGTCCTACCTTGTTCATATAAAACAAACTGCATGTCCCTACGATGCCCCTACGCTGAGATAATGAGCGGCGAAAATCTGGTATTTTCGCCGAACACCGACTCGACATTAGTCAGTACTGCGACCGACCCGCGTTCTGGTGATAGCTTCGGGAAACCTCGCATGTTTCCGTCATTCATTGACAATGAAATTTATTTTCCTTCTACTATCTTTTCTCGCATTTCCAGTCATTGACACAGCCATTACTCCACAAAAACGTCTTGTTATTTATCGCCATGGTGATGACCCGCCCCTTACGCTGGATGTAGTAACGCTGTAGTAATAACGTATCGAGTCAGCGCTACACAGCGGCGACCGGAAGCAACAAACAGTGCACAGAACGCGAGTTGGTCGCAGTGCTGACTAATGTCGACTCGGTGTTCGGCGAAAATACCAGATTTTCACCGCTCATTATCTCAGCGTCGTTATCAGGCATCGTAGGAACATGCGGTTTGTTTTATATGAACAAGGTAGGACAGCTGATCAATAATACTGCAAAGAATCGTCAAAATCAAACGGGAAAAGTTTATTAATTCGACTAATACTGCAACATGGTTTCAGCATTTCACCGTTGTACGCTCTCCTTCTTTATACGCTCTTGATAATAATATGAGTCTCAGGCAGAATTTTCGAATCACAGACAATGACATGAGCTCGCACCAGCCTTTGTGAAGGAAATGTATTTTCGCTACGTATGTATGTACACTCCTAAACAAACCCCTTACCTATATCATGAGTGAGATAAAAATATGATAATCCGTACCACGTCACCGTGACAACGATATGGGCTACCTACTAGAAAGTATGCATTAAACTGTATGTTACTGTATACATATATTGTATACTATTACTATTGTGTAATATGTATTAGGGTTGAATGTATAATGTAAATATAATGTAAATGTATTGCTGATTTTGTTCGTAAACACACCTATCACGCACTCCGGAGTCTTCACCATCACAAAGTTTCATTTTCTTTGGTTCTCTGGAAAAAAACGAGAATTCAAAATATTATTCACAACAAAAATGCAAGTAAGTGCACGAATACGCCCATCGCAGGAAAATTTAGCAGGATAAAAAAATCAATTCATGTACAGCCACTCCCTCTACTAAAAATGGAACAGAACAGCAGGCATGAATTAGACGCCTGTTAATAGAAGACATCTTGACCAATTAGCTACGTACAAAGCACAGCAGTGGTGAAATGAGAGATATGCTTACGTTAATTGTAGAGGAATGTGAAGAAATACGACAATTCACTGATAATTAGCAAGTAAATACATATATATATATATACGTGAGTAAACACATGGCACAAACACTGTATAAAGCACAAAAGTGTTCAATACTCTTCTGTGAAAAGCACTCCGCGCTGCCAAGACAACTGTTTATAATCAATAATTTACCTGCAAATGGCCTAGCATCTCCACCTAGTGGCAAATATTTTGCCTTTTATTTTTAAAGAGATCTTTTTAATAAATTAATCGATATAACGCGCGCGCGCAAACGTCTGTGCAATCTTCATTTTCCGCGTTCACGTATTTGAAGAAATCCCTCATCTGGCAGTTGCATCGCCGCGTAGGCTGCTCGTCTGATCCTTAATTGCAAATGTAACCTACAGTACTGTACTTACTAGTAGCTACTTAGCTGCGCTGCCCCAACTCCTCGGAAATGCTTCTCATACTAAAGCTGGGCATGATGTGTGCACCTAACGTACATGTATGTATACGAGAAGAGCAGCGGCAACGCGTGTTTGGGGTGAACCCCCCGCCTACCCTACTCTACTCTACTCTACTCCAGCTAGAAGGTTCACGAGAGAGCGTGCGTACAAATCTACGTCAACTGAACGAGTTAACTTGGCGAAAGTGATATACAAGATGAAATATTCATGTTTGAAATTGGTTTCTCCAGAGAAGAGAGGGGGAGGGGGAGAGACAGAGAGAGACACAGAGAGAGAAAGACATACAGACAGACAGACAGAGAGAGAGAGAGAGAGGAGGGAGAAGGAGAGACAGAGAGAGAGAGAGAGAGAGAGAGGAGGGAGAAGGAGAGACAGAGAGAGAGAGAGAGAGAGAGAGGAGGGAGAAGGAGAGACAGAGAGAGAGAGAGAGAGAGAGAGGAGGAAGGAGAGACAGAGAGAGAGAGAGAGAGAGAGAGAGAGAGAGAGAGAAAGAGAGAGAGAGAGGAGGCGATGTCAACAACGCACAGAAGAAAGAGTCAGTCAGCGGACAGAGGGTCCAGTTACAAAGTAGCGGCGCGCGTGAATACGTAACGTGCGTGCGAAGCATTCGCCGCAAATCTCTAAGGCACACGCGCGCGCATTTCAAAACATATTAATCTTAACCCCCTCCGCCCCTAAACTACAAGGAGGCAGCGATACTGCACGTACGGGTTAAGCTCCAGTTCATCAGTTAAGAATCCATCCTGCAGATGATCTCGCTCCCTCTTTAATCGTTCCTGCACATCCTCGGCCATGATTTCACTGCAACTGCAAGAAACAAAAACGTCGCATTGAACGATCGCGTCGACTCTCTAAAAAGACGGCGCCTTTAGTCTCTCGCCTCTCTAAAAAGACGGCGCCTTTCGTCTCTCGCCTCGCCGAGCACGAACGCACGAACGCGAGCGACATACAGCGCGCACAGATGCTAGTCACGTACAGCGAGCAAGAGTCACGTACAGATGTGAGCGATGTACAGCGTGCACGAGATACGTACAGACGCAAGCCACGTACAGCGAGCACGAGATACGTACAGACGCAAGCCACGTACAGCGAGCACGAGATACGTACAGACGCTAGTCACATACAGCGAGCAAAAGCGCACACACGCTAGCCATGTACAGCGGACACGAGCGTGCAGACGCTAGCCACGTACAGCGAGCACGAGCGCACAGACGCTAATCACGTACAGCGGACACGAGTGCACAGACGCTAGCCACGTACAGCGGACACGAGCGCACAGACGCTAGCCACATACAGTGCGCACAAGCGCACAGACGCTAGCCACACACAGACGCGAGCGACGTACAGCACGCACGAGATACGTACAGACGCTAGTCACGTACTGCGGACACGAGAACGTAGAGCAAGCACGAGCGCACAGACGCTAGCCACGTACAGCGGACACGAGATACGTACAGATGCGAGTCACGTGCAGCGAGCATGAGATACATAAAGACGTGAGCCATGTACAGCGCACACGAGAACGTACAGTGAACACGAGCGCACAGACGCTAGTCACGTACAGCGGACACGAGAACGTACAGCGAGCACGAGCGCACAGACGCTAGCCACATACAGCGCGCACGAGCGCACAGACGCTAGCCACATACAGCGAGCACGACCGCACAGACGCTATCCACATACAGCGCGCACGAGCGCACAGACGCTATCCACATACAGCGCGCACGAGCGCAAACGCGAACGACGAGCGCACAGATGCGAGTCACGTACAGCGGACACGAGCGCACAGACGCGAGCGATGTACAGCGGACACGAGCGATGTACAGCGGACACGAGCGCACAGACGCGAGCGATGTACAGCGGACACGAGCGCACAGACACGAGCAATGTACAGCGGGCACGAGTGAACAGATGCGAGCGATGTACAGCGGACACGAGTGCACAGACGCGAGCGATGTACAGCGGACACGAGCGCACAGACGCTAGCGATGTACAGCGGGCACGTGCGCACAAACGCGAGCGATGTACAGCGGAACGAGTCACGTACAGCGAGCACGAGCGCATAGATGCGAGCGACGTACAGCTGGCACGAGTACAGCGCAACCCACGTAAGGAATCGCGCTGTAGACGTGTGTAACGTGCGTTCGCCATAATCCTACGATCTCGACCCGAGCAGACACCACACGCGCTTCGATATGCGAAACTCATCTTACAGCAAACTACGCGATGAGACCAAAGACAGACATGTATGTCCTATACGCCACAGTCACACGGAAGACCGGCGGAAGCGTAAAAGCGGTGTACGATCTAGGCTAGTCACGTCTATACCTACAAGTACAAGCGTGGACTAGTGAATAACTGAACAGGCCAAGTGTGATGCAGCACAGCCACTGCCACTGCGACCACCACCACCGCCACTGCCACCGCCCCCGTCACCACCACCACCACCGCCGCCACCACTACCGCCAACATCATCACTGCGACCACCACCACCACCACTGCCACGCCCCCGTCACCACCACCACCACCGCCGCCACCACTACCACTGCGACCACCACCACCACCACTGCCACCGCCCCGTGACCACCACCACCACCACCGCCGCGGTCACCACCACCACCACCATCACTGCGACCACCACCACCACCACTGCCACCGCCCCCGTCACCACCACCACCGCCGCGGTCACCACCACCACCACCACCACCACCACCACCACTACCACTAACTGCACCATCACCACCACCACCGCCGCCACCACTACCACCACCCCCACCACCGCTAACCCAACAACTACCACTAACTGCACCACCACCACCACCACCACCACCCCCGCCCGCTACAGCAACCGTCAGGGCAACTCGACTTTTAAACGTAAGGAGCGTGCAGACATTTCTCTCTCTCTCTCGTGGGCCGGGGTTCACCATCACTAGGTTTAATTACCCGTAACCTTGTCAGCCGTGCACGCGGGGGGACAGACAGGTCGGCCAACATTTATGACGTCAGACCATTTACGTGGCGGCAGGGTGCACCATGTTGGGCCGACTAAAAATAGACGCTAGAAAATAATACGGCGGTGATCGATGCCAGGCTGGTGGCAGTAACCGTGTGCATATTTCGGTGAACACAAGTGTACCGGGAGGCGAGAGTTCCGGCGTCACATAATTTCACCTAAAATTCGCTCGCAAAGCTCATTGCACACCATCACCGGATCTATCACTACTCGTACCCACTCCACCTCTCTCTCTCTCTCTCTCTCTCTCTCTCTCTCTCTCTCTCTCTCTCTCTGTCTGTCTCCGTCTCTCTCTCGCTTTCTCTTGCTCTGCTTTCCGTTCCATCTCTCGGAGAGATTCTAGTGCAATTGACAGGTCTTATATGTTCGTCACTGCGGCCATTATCACATTAACTACAAAATCAATACAGCACGTACGGTGTACATGTATGTTACATGCAAAATACTTGCTGGCCGCGCGCACGTATGTTCTTATCATCACTCTGCCATTTTAGGGCTCCGCAGAACGAATGCTTCCCGACGTCTGCTCGTTTTTTTCAGACTGTATCCATTTGCTTTTTGAGAGCATGCATTTTCATATCATTTCCAATATCAGTGTGATACGTTCGCAATCGCAAACACCACAACCAAAAGTGGCATAAATAGATTAAATACGACAGATCAAATGGGTATAACACAGAGATTTTTCAGGGGACACTCTGAACTCTAAACGAGGGTTAGTAAAGGAAAACTTCAAGTATCATTTATAGACAGGTGTCAGTTCTATAGAGCTGGTTATACGCTATAACTGTCACTCACGGGAAATGCCAAATGTGTTCTTTACAGACCTACTCGATTGTACATGTACTTTTGAAAATGTAGAACAGGGAACTGTATATATAGATACGCAATGCAGTGAGATGCACAAAATTATACTATATACACATATTATCATTAATACCATGTAACCATCATGAACTCTTGACATTACGAATCTGGCTGTAGATCTATGTAAAAACCATGCACTTTTTATGTGCTTTGTCATCATCTTTGTTGAAAACGAATATGTGTCATACCACGACATCCCAGGACATAAAAATTCATTCAAACACGGCACTCCCATCACGGCTAGTAGGTTTTTGTTGCCATTGCCAGTCTGGGAGATGATGGTAACAGATGGTGGCCACCCAACTCATTGTGTTAAACATAATTAAACACAAGTGACACACACACACGCACATACACAAGCTTACACCGCTTCAATCGCCTGTATTTTGCAGACACCTGTCACTCCCAGACTAAGAACAGAACAAATGCACACAGAAATGTACATGAAGCAGAAGATGTGCATGACGTACAGCTTTTACCCATTGCTTGTAGATGATTAAAATGCGATTTAAGACTGGTAATGAATGGAAAACAATTCAAAAGTACATGTATGTATACCAAGATCATGGTATATACATTCGTTTCGTCTTCAATCTCTTATTTTTTCCGTCTTCGTTATAGTTGTTTGAACTTTGAACTTTGAAGACTAATATTTACGAGGTTACGAGGTTATCATGATCTTCCATTATCTATTACATTTCAATCTATAGACGATTCGTGCGACCTTGCAGTGCACGTGCCTTCCATTGCTTTTTTCTTTCAAATACAGTGGTCCCCTCTTCCTCGTGACTCTGAAACACCGACTCATCGCTTAAACGTCTTTAGAAAACGAACCTTATGCATGCTGCTATGCACGTGTTCCCCGCTTGGTCGCGACGTTTTCATGTGCCCGACCTGTCCCGATAAAGCCGGTACCACTGTATTTCATTACCCTAACTCTAATCCTATGATAAATAAAATTGCCAGGTACAATGTTGAACGTAGCCTATTCATACTGCACCTAAGAAGCGAGAAGTATTTTCTTAACAGCTTCAAATACATCAAACACTGTAACTTTAGCTGAGAGGGTCTATGTCCCCCGGGGTACTGCCGGGGGACATACCCTGGGTACGGTCCGGTATACCGGAACGTACCCTGGTACTATATTATATGCCGGACCGTACCTCGCCTACTCCACTAACGAGTCTAGGGAGTCGCCTACCCCTGCTCCCTAACCCTAACCATATCAAATAGTGACCAGGGTACGTTCCGGTATACCGGACCGTACCCAGGGTACGTTCCGGCAGTACCCTGGGGGACATAGACCCTATGAGCGTAACTTTACTGTATATATAACTTCCACCGATTTCCAGACAATTTACAAATATATATCGGTAACTTTCACCCAAACTCCAACACACATATATACATGGGATGTATGCAGACAATGGGAATCTTACCAATAAATTTAGGGTGTGCATCCAATTCATTTTCACCTATGTACCATCTGAGGTTACCAGAAATCACCCATCATTGGACGAAAATTAACCTGAGTCTGGAGTCAAATACGCTCTGATAATTCTGCTGTACACAACCAAAAATAAAAAAGACATTCAATACAAAACCGATTTTCATGTTCCGAAATTGTACTCTGCAGCGGGTCCTATCGTACGGCAGACGATAATTTATGTATTACTTCGGCATATTTATGTGCAAGTTATTGGGCACAAATTTTCTTGAAGGGTGTTATTTACAGAGTGGCTATATGCCCGGCTGCCGGGCACGGTCTTCGATTTCCTAAATGCTTGGCAGTTTTTAATTTTCAGCATTATCTCAAGTAAACAAGGGTTAGGGTTAGGGTTGAGAAAAGTTCTGCCGGGCATTTAGGAAATCGAAGACCGTGCCCGGCTGCCGGGCATATAGCTACAGCGTGTTATTTACGCTCATATAGGGTCTATGTCCCCCAGGGTACTATCGGAGGGTACCCTGGGTACCGTTCGATATATCGGAACGTACCCTGGTAACTATCTGAAATTGTTAGGGTTAGGGTTAGGTAGTGTTGTCAATCGGTTGTAATTTCGTAATCGATCATCGGTTGGATCCAAGTAACCGATGATCGGTTACTCGGGGTGTTGAATGCATGCGTGTGCATAACGTCGTGTGCGACATGTACGTGTGTGCATGTATGTGCTTGTTTAGCCCTGTTTACTGTTTGTTTTGCACTGTTTACTACTGTGTGTATAATACATGTATGTTAATAAAGAATAACTTGTATAGTACTAGTAGCGATAATATCTCTGATTCTCATCACTTTTCCAAGTTTTCTTGTTCAAGTTTTACATTTATTTCGTTTTTTTTCCCCGATGAAATCGATTATGGATTTTGATAACCAAGCGCTTGGTTCGAGCCACTGTTCAACCGATAATCGAGTATAATTGATGATCGTGACATCACTAGGGTTAGGGTTAGGCAGTAGGCGACTCCCTAGACTCGTTAGTGGAGTAGGCGAGGTACGGTCCGGCATATTAGATAGTACCAGGGTACCGTTCCGATATATCGAACCGTACCCAGGGTACCCTCTGATAGTACCCTGGTGGACATAGACCCTTTCAGCATTATTTACTGTTTACTAATTTTTAATTTTAAGTTACTTAGTTAGCGGTTTATTAAATACAATATATGGACTAGGTACCCAAGTATAGTTCGTCACTCATTAGTTTGATGCAGACATACTACTACTAGTCTATAGAGTATAGTACCTAGGTAGGGCCTACTCTCTCAAATCTGAAAACGTTCACACTAGCACTAGCAGTGGGCCCATTTATTCTTCTTTTAAATAATTATTAATTAACGTAATGAAGTGAAAATTACAACTTGGTATTGTGCATTTTGAATGTACTAAAGCCTTTGTCGACAGTGTCGTGGCTGAGCAGCCAGTGAGTAGGGCCTATACTAAGTATATAATAGTATAGGCACAAAGAAAAACATTTTTAGTTTGTACCCATTTCATTTCAGACTGCCAAAATCACCTGGCCATTGACGTGGCCGAAATTTACAACAACAACATTCCTTTATCTTACATATGACCACAGCGCCAAAACGCCGTTCTTACGTCTCCTACACATAAATAGGGAACGTTAGGTGAACGAAATATAGTTTTAGCCTCCAGTATGAATGCCAAATATTTTCTTATCGATCTTGTAGTTTGAATGGTGGGTGGGGGTGGGAGGGTGAACTAATGACCTAGCTCCCTATACTTCACAGGCTCAATTTAACTACTAACGTGCCCACCATATTCTTAGTACTAATACCTTTTTTCCTGTTCAGATTCCAGCGTATCAGCAGAATAAGCTTTCGTTTGAAGGTCTTTTCAAAAATTTGTCAAATATGGCGGCACCGGTTTTCTCCTCTTTGCGACGGTCTTCCTGCCTCCCGACTAATCACACACACACTGACAGCGCAACCTTTGTTTCATTTCCTAGGGGTTTCCCGAAGCAACGCCACGGCAGCAGTAAACAACCGGGTTGTTTATTTGTCAACAATAACAAAATTACGGAATACCATTGGTTGCACGGCCAGCTCTCAACATGGAGGACGACCAATGGCAAGGTGCGATGACCCTGCATCGAGACCACGTGACGTCATCGGACTTTACGTTTCATTGATTTTTGCCGCTCAAGAAGCAACTGTCACAAATGCAAATGATAACATCTCAAATTAGTCATACATATCACGAGTAACCACGGGGGCATACCTACACCATTGGATACCTTTGTTCATAACGCCCTTGGGTTTCAGTGTTAATTACGGCCCATTTTCTTGAAAAGTTGGGATTCAGTGGCTTTGGATTCTGCTGGAGTAAATCCCGCGTATGGGTAACCCGTGATAAACTTTTGGCACGGTTCCAAACGACATTAGAATGAACGGAAAGATTACTTTTGCACACTGTGGCAATGCCACTATTGCGAAAACACCGTGTGCGCGCTACTAAACAAAATCGAAAACAGCCGCAAAGAAGTGTGATATACTGTTAGTAGTGAATTTATTATTATTTTTATGTAAATACATCGTAAAAAGTTTCGCGCGCTAACTCTGCTCTCGTTAACAGGAGAGTTAACGGCGGCGCGCAATCGCTCTACTACTCGACTCTACAAACTTCAGCGCAGACGACGCGTGTTGCATAGTTAGGTACTGCCCCGTACGAGCACTGGCTCTCTCCACACATGCTCACACACACACTTTTCCACGCACGCTAACTTTCTCTGGCAATAATTTCTTCGCGTGAGAGAGCGAGCAACATAGAGTGGATGGGACGCTGAAGAAAACAAACTGATGCAGATTCGCGCGGGAAAAACTTTATTACTTTTAAGTTGTTAAACCCGATCGTGATAGCATTTATATACAAATATATCTGCCTAATTAGTAAGTTTTCATCTGTTTTTTTCTCTCTCTCTGGTAGTGAAACTAACGTTCTTTTTCGTGCACGAACAAACGACAACCACCAAAGCAATTCGTAACCAACTAACAAGTGTTACTACAACAGTCTACAACGGGGAATGTTAGCATCAAAACTGTGTGCCGACGTACGCTGCACATGCATACACGTGAACTTCAGTGAAGTACGCATATTTGCCAAACCACTTGTAGCTTTCACTGCGCAAGGTTTTTCCATTCACTGTCACATATGCTATAGTGCTATTTCCAACGACGAATATGACATAGGTAAAGCGTGCCAATTGTGTTCAAATTATTATCAGGAACTGTTAAAAACAAATAAAAAGGTGCCAGTCACGAATTTAAAATTCCTTTTTTGATGGAATCTTCAACGATAGGATTTGGTATTTCATCGATGGGAATCACTCAATCACATTCTACGTTTCTACGTGACAGATAAAATTATCATGCACTGAGGATTTCTAATATATGTAAATACATCAAATAAGATAAAACAATTACCCAGTGATTTCATCGACCCTTTATGTTACTGCTAGTCATCTCACATAATGAAGATGCTGATTTTCCTATCATACAGAAAAGCATGCTAATTGATGCAATAATTAAATATCCACTTATGATTACATTTGCACTTATTTACACGAAAAATAAACTTGGAGTCATACGATTATGTACAAGGATACTGTAGCAAATTGCGGGTAGCATTACCTACACATTGCGTTTGACAAGCATCTACAGCAGAGGGCAGCACTTTCTATGACAACCTTTCATGCACTGTTCACAACCATTCGTAGGGTTTTTTCTTAGCCTAATAAAAACTTAGCAACCGATTTCGCACGTAAAACTCTAGTATCCATACACTTCATGATTTCTTCCTCTCGTGCACTCATCATATATTGCTACGCCCCCGTCCTAGAACGCGTGCATACATTATTGTATTGTTTACACAATTGCACAGGGCCGAAGGCCTAGTTATAATCGTTACACCCGAGTGGTAACAAACATGAACACCTACAAACACCAACCTCCACGACGTTACACAGGTAAATTTCGGATATCAACTCACGGTAGACGGCTGGCCGCAAATGGGATACAAGCAGCCACATTCTGCAACCTTGACCACACTGACAACTCACCACGCATTCAACCTTCCTTCATCAAGCATAAAATCTAATATGGCATAATCATAAATTACTAAAGAAAAATGCTTACAAATTCGCTTCTAGTTCCTAATTAAAACTTAAGTACATACATCTGACCTAATTTTGTTTAGAAAAAAAGCAAGCAGAGAGTTTGCATACGAATATGCACGTACACTTAAACAAGTCACACACTATGTACACAAATTCAGTACCCTGTCGCGACACAGTTCACTCCAGTGCACATTAAAAATAAAATTTGAAGTTTCAGATGTTTCTCCCACACGGAGAAAAATTAGTTTCTGCATCTGTGGCTGGATTCCACTTGTCCACAACTTGTTGAGAAATGCACACAGCACCCTAGAGAATTTCAGCTCCTGGCCCCACAGCTGATGAGAGGGGAAAAGATGTGATCGGAAAAGGGCCCTCCGTCCACTAGAAACGAAAGAAAATCCAAGTTAGCACAAAATCATAACGAGATCGACGTCACTGGATAACTAGAAGAGAAAACAGATGGGTTTTCTTTGGACAAAGGCGACTCGAGTACGCTAAAAGCACGGCATGGCAACGACCGACACACTGCAGGCAAACAACCCATAAATTTACGCGTTCGCGCTCCGAAAAGCGAAATCTCAGAGAACGCAATCGCTTCTCGTCGCGCGCGACTACGTACACCGTCAGACCAGTGGCGTAGCCAGGGGGGGGGGGGCGATGGGGGCAGTCGCCTCCCCTAAGATGCCAACAACATGCACCAAATTGCACCATTAACAACATCAAAATGCAAAAAAACGCTCCCTCGAACTGAGCCGCCCCCCCTTACATTTAATCCTGGCTACGGCACTGCGTCAGACAGACCGTTCGAACACAGTTTTTGCGCATGCTCGCAGGGCGTGCTTTTCGACGGCGGCGTCCGTCAATGGACTGAGAAGCGTGCGCGCTAAAAGCACGGCACATCAACGACCGATGCACCGCAAGCGATTTCCAACTCAACCGAAGAAATTTACGCGTTCACGCTCCAAAACTCAGATTCCTAGGAAACACAGTCGCCACTCTTCACGCGCATATTCCATCAGCACATGATCCGCGCACCCTCGCTACATAGCGTGCTTTTCGAAGGCGGCGTCCATTGACAGTCACCGCAAGTGTGCGCGCGCGCGCGGGCGGAGACGCTGGCTGCCTAGCGAGAGACCTGGATGAGATTGTGGGCAGGCAGACGCGACGATTGAAAGTAGTCGTCTAGCAGCAGGTTGGAGAAGTTTGTGTGCAGCTGGAATCCCTCGTTCTCCCGCACCGGATCGCCGCACAGGTGGTACAGATCTGCAACGAAGGAAGGCGTAGAAGCAAGTCACGCGACGAAATCGAAACGAGCCACGCATTTGTACAGAAACAATAAACGTGCGAGATGGAGACCGTGGGAGGCTCTATGCGGTGCAGATACACTGCAGCTAACCTCACGTAGATCTAACAGGCTTCTTATGAGATGCCACGCGTTTGTACTGCAGCAAGAAACGCGTGAGAGGTCCAAAACTGTAGTAGCTCTATGCGGTGCTGATACACTGCAGCTACCCCCCCCCCCCCGCGTAGATCTAACACGCGGAACAGGGGAAGAGGTGAACGCACCTTTAAGCAGGGCCGACGCCCACAGCTGAACGTGAAGGTCGGGGATCTTGCTCGCCAGCTGCATAGCAGGGTTCACCATGTTCGCACTCTCCTGTGTCAACAAGACGCGGAAAACATGGACGCTTAAAACGTGAAAAAAAGACGCGGGCGGATGGTAAACCACCCACCCCCTGCGCCTGCCCGAAGCGCAGGGGACGTTCTCCCGAATAACCGGAGATTACCGTACACGATTCGAATGCAGAACAATTAATGATTTTAGAATTGAGACTTTTAGACTTTTAGAATTAAGGATTTTCGACGATTTATGAATGCAGAACAATTAATTTGAATGCAGTCCATTAAGTTAAGCTGCCATTCCACGTTAGCTAGCCCCTATTCATCCTGAACGAGACACGTGAATGCGATTCCATCAGGAATGAATCGGCTATCGACAGTTCCTCACGAAAATAAAATTCACGCCGAACGGTCAGACGACTATTAAAAACCCTTGCGATTCGCGAACAAAATACGCAAAATGTTTTCTATCGGACGAAATCCAAGTGGTTTTATCGAGCAGCTCTGCGACATGGGAGGAGTAGGGTTAGAGTGTGTGTGCTGCCACGTACCCTGCTGTTGCCGATGGAGAGGAATATGTGTCCAAGAAGGACCAGCGAGCACGACGTGAGCCTGTTCAGATCCTCAGCATTCGCCATCTTCAGAGTCTCACGCAGATATCGCCTGAAATCGACGCCAGCAACGCGTTAAAACAGCGACTGCAGTCCCACCGCACAAAGTTACGGACGATATTTTGGGAAAATGCGATTGCGCGCGCATCGACGATGCAGAATCTCTCTCTCTCTCTCTCTCTCTCTCTCTCTCGATTGGACGGGCTCTGTCTCTCAACACTGCTCTCTCCCTCTATTTCTCTGGCTCTCTCTCTCGTCTCTCCCTCGTATTTCTCTGGCTCTCTCTCTCGCTCTCTCTCTCTCTCTCTCTCTCTCTCTCGTCGTCGTCTCTCTCTCTCTCTCTCTCTCTCTCTCTCTCTCTCCTCCTCTCCTCTCTCCTTCTCTCTCTCTCTACTCTCTCTCTCTTCTCTTCTCTCTCTCTCATCTCTCTCATCTCTCTCTCTCCTCTCTCTCTCTCTCTCTCCTCTCTCTCTCTCTCTCTCTCTCTCTCTCTCTCTCTCTCTCTCCTCTCCTGCTCTCTCTCTCTCTCTCTCTCCTCTCTCGTCTCTCTCTCTCTCTCTCTCTCTCATACGCTCTCTCTCTCTCTCTCTCTCTCTCTCTCATCTCTGCTCTCTCTCTCTCTCTCTCTCCTCTCTCTGCACACTCTCTCTCTCTCTCTCTGTCTCTCTCTCTCTCTCTCCTCTCTCTCTCTTCTCTCTCTCTCTCTGCTCTCTCTCGTCCTCTCTATCTCTCTCTCTCTCTCTCTTCTCTCTCTCTCTCTCTCTCTCTCTCTCTCTGCTCTCTCTCTCTCTCTCCTCTCATCTCTCTCTCTCCCTCTCTCTGCTTCTCTCTCTCTCTCTGACTCTCTCCTGGCTCTATCTTTCTCTCTCCTGGCTGCTCATTCTCTCGCTCCACCTCCCTCTCTGTTCTCTCGAGCGCCGATGGCTTTTACGTACTTTCTATCCGTATTTCTGCTTCAATCTTTTTCATGGCAAGATTTTATGGATTAGTGAGTGGGAGACTCGAACGTCGCTGCATTATGGTGCTGTGTTTACCAAAAGTTTCCTATAAAAAAATCTTCCCACGTTTTTCCTAATGCTAGGCCCTAACCCGCCAACAATTAATTCAGGGTGGGAAGAATGCGAGTGACGCTTAGCAGCCCAATATTAGCGCGACCATGAGCGCTGTGACGCCCGCTTCATCCGCGACAACTCTCATCTGGCCGGCCATCGTGCATCTATTAATGGTCCCAGTGTCCCCGAAATCAAACGCCCAAATCACGAAATGGTAAAATATGCGCGAAGTCCGAATCGCTAATCGCGCGTAACTTTCAAACCCAAGAGCCGCCAGAGGCGGCTGGGCTCACTGGGCGCTAGTGAGTGCTAAGAGTTCTAAGAGCCTAAAGTGCTAATACTAAAGTAACTTAAGTAACTTAAACTAAGTAACTTAAGCTAAGGTGCTAAGTGCTAGTGACTATCTGCAACTATTTCATAATGTACACTACAGAATCTCATATTAACTCATCTTAAATAAAAAAAACCAACATATTCCTAATAAAGCATTGTTCAAAGTAAGTATTATTGTGAATTCAACTGTAAAATGGAGCTGTTCCACAACCAACAGGTACGCTCGGCCAACGCAGTTGAGAAACAAATCAATGTTTTAACCCTCCTACAGGCTGCAAAGAGAGCTGCCAACTGTACGCTAATTAACCAGGCAAAAATACACCAACTATCTACCACCACAGCACTGGCAGTGTGCCACTGGCAAGTGGCAGAATAACAACACTGACAGTAACAGAAATGCCATAGAATATAACGATTTAAGACAGAAACTTCTCAAGCAATTTACTTTTGAAATTTCACTGTGACATCGCAGCCTCAAACATCCAGGCATGTATAGCATTCACTAGCAAACCCTAGAATTAAAATTGCTTTCTAACACAGATAACAGTTAACAAATCATGGCTTTAAACATCGCCTCCATCTTACGGGTCAAGAAAGGTTATGAGACACTTACTTCGCACGTCCAAGTGGAAAGCACATTCATGGTCCTTCAATAAAGCCATAAAAATGGTAGGTCACCGCTGAAACAAAATATTTTTCAATGCGTCCGTCAGACGCATGGTCCTCAGAAATGACTAAAAAATCTGCCCTGTGCCCATTGACCTTTGACCTGATGACCTCCAATTCGGCACAGTGATGCTTTGCCTACCATGATGCTATACACCGACAATCACAGCCTAGTCAGCCGGTTAGATTTTGCGGCAATTCTGCATCTCCGCTATACCTTAAGTTAAGGAGTGAATGTTCCCACCTTATTTACACCTCTTGACCTTTGACCTTTGACGCCCCAGCTTTTCGACATCCCAACTCGTTTTCGGATACGCCCCACGTCCGA